AGGCTCCAGGCTCTGAGCCATCAGCCCAGAGACTGACGCGGGGCACGATCTCAGACCGCGAGATCGTGACCTGGCTGAAGTCGGACGCTTAACCGACTGCGCCACCCAGGCGCCCCTGATTTTGTTTTTTAAAGTAGGCTCCCTGGCCGATGTGGGGCTTGAACTCATGACCCTGAGATCAAGAGTTGCATGCTCTACCAACTGAGCCAGCCAGACGCCCATGCTTTTTTCTTATTTTAAATTATTTCTCTAGGATAAGTTTCTAGAGCAGGTTACTTGATAAAGGAGATGAGAATTTTTATGATTCTTGGTTTGTTTGGCTAAATTATTCCAGAAAAAGATGATTTACATGGTCTCTAGCAAGATATGAAGATGCCTGTTTTTTTCTTCCCAAAACTCTCCCAGGAATTGGCTTTTATAACTTTTTATTCGTTTGTGTAAAGACTATTAAATGGAATTGTGTATCTATTTAGTGTTGAGAGAGAGAGAGAGAGAGACAGAGCGCGAGCAGGGGAGGGGCAGAGAGAGAGAGAGGGAGACACAGAATCCGAAGCAGCCTCTAGGCTCTGAGCTGTCAGCACAGAGCCTGATGCGGGGCTTGAACTTATACAAATCACAAGATCATGACCTGAGCTGAAGACATACGCTTAACTGACTGAGCCACCCAGGTGCCCTTGTAATTGTATATCTTGAAACAAATTAAGAGTTCGATACATGTATCAGTTAGCTATTGTTGTGTAACAAACCGTCCCCAAACTTAGTGGCTTAAACAACAGGGATTTATTGTTTCTCACAAGTCTATAGGTTGGCAGGACTGTTGTACTTGCTCACGTGTCAGTGGTCAGTTGGTGGGTTGGCTGGGGGCTGGCTGGTCTAGGACATCTTCCGAAATCAAGAGTCAGACGCTTAACCAACTGAGACACCCAAGCGCCCTGACTCTATCTCTTGATAGCAGTAACTCAAAGTCACATCGCAGAGTGTAGATACGGGGCTGGGTGGAAACTTGCGATTACTTTTACAACTCTTATACCACCACATTCAAATGACTGTTGTCCTTCAAAGTTGTCATCTTTCAAAGCTCTGCACTCATTCCAACGATGTACCCACGAATTAAAAAAGCAAGAATCAGAGCCTTTATTAGAATCTCCTTTTTTGGGGGGAGGCGGTTATAAGCCAATTAAGAAAATCAGTTTGTTTTTTATAGTCAACCATTTTATTCAATGTTCTTGATTCTAGGTAATTTTTTTTTAATTTTTATTTATTTTTGGGACAGAGACAGAGCATGAACGGGGGGAGGGTCAGAGAGAGAGAGAGACACAGAATCTAAGCAGGCTCCAGGCTCCGAGCCGTCAGCACAGAGCCCGATGCGGGGCTCGAACTCACAAACTGTGAGATCATGACCTGAGCCAAAGTCAGACGCTTAACCGACTGAGCCACCCAGGCGCCCCAATTCTAGGTAATTTTTGATAATTTCTAAATATCAAATCCATGATAAAAGAATTTCAAAATTGACCCCCGTCGAGGCTATTTAAAAGAATGTAACCCAGACTTTGAAATCAATCCAAAAGGAAGCATTCTGAAATGTTTAAAACAAAGGCTTGTCACTGGAATAAATGGGGAGAGCATGACAAACCTGATCACTTTGAAGTGGTTAACTACTCTGTGTGTATTTTTTCTGGAAGGTTTTTTAAAAGCTGTTGCTTTGAATTAGGTTGTGTAAACAAATACCTATTGACTGTAGATGAATTTGGGAGTTCTGTGTATCTTAGTTGAATATCAAATTAATTTTTCTCCCCTAAAGGAGCTTAGCGTTGACTCTCATTTAGGTTGCACGTTGCAGCAAAGTAACTGGATTTTTTCCCTCATTTTGCTATTTAGATAATGTTTTTGGAGAAAGAGAGCATGTTTGTTTTCATAACACCCCAGTTCAGTGTTGCTATTATAAGAATTTCTAAGAACCTTAATATCTTAGATATAACCTTTGGAGGCCTTTAAAAAAACAGTCTACGCAAACTTTGTCTCCTCAAGGAAATTGACTTGGACTGTCCTTTATGGACAGTTATTAAAGAATTATGTACCTACAAAGTTAACCAAGATTTAGTAGTGGATTTTGTGTTAGAATTTCTATCATCTGGCCATGTATGCTTGAGTCTAAACCTCTCAGAAGTTGACATTGGAAGTTGACATAAAACATGAGAAACTCAGGTTTTATAGACTCTGGATATATCCACTTTAGAAAAAACTCCTTTATTGGAAAGTGCTATTTGAAGTCAGCAAATAGGAGCAGAAATCCTTGATTCCCAGTATTTGTAATCTTGGGGCACCTTGGGCAGCTTAAAAGAGTTTGTTAATAGGAAATGCCAGCAGGCACTCATGTTTGGGGGATTTTTAGGTCAAGGGCAAATTCACTTGGTCATTCATTAGAAGAGGATGGTTCTTCTGCATTGGAACTTAGAGTTCAGTTTAGTTCATGTCAATAGACTGGGAGCATACGAGTGGATATGTCCACGTAAGACCTAGAAACCAACCTGGACCAAGGATGTTAAATCAGGTGCGTGTTCCCGAATGTGCTATGGGTGTTTTACCCTTGCCTCGTTTCTGTAGTATCCCCAGCCAGTTTTTCTGGGATTTGACCTTTGAGATCAATCATGCAATAGATTGAAGATTTGGAATCTTGGGGTCTCAATGTATGGGCAAGTCACTGAATTTTTCTGAATCCGTCTGAATTTCCCTATCTGTAAAACAGGCATGAAAATCCTTATAGGTTGCTTCGTGAATCAAATGAGATAAAATAACACTTTTGCCACAAATAAAGAATCATCATAGCTTGTGTTTATTGAGAACTTCCTTTGTGCCGGGCACTATTCTTAAGCTTTCACATGTACTTGCTCATTGAATCCTCTCAGAAATCCTAGAATCTCAATTTTTCAGTGAAGGAAACTGAAACACAGTACAGTTGGCCCTTGAACAACACAGGTTTGAACTATGCGGGTCCATTTATACACGGATTTCTTTGCGATCAATACAGTACAGTACCATAAATGTATTTTCCCTTATGATTTTCTTTTCTTTTCAATGTTTATTTATTTTTGAGAGAGGGAGAGAGACAGAGCGTTGAGTGGGGGAGGGACAGAGAAAGAGGGAGACACAGAATCGGAAGCAGGCTCCAGGCTCCGAGCACTCAGCTCAGAGCCCGATGCGGGGCTCGAACTCACAGACCGTGAGATCATGACCTGAGCCGAAGTCGGACGCTTAACCGACAGAGCCACCCAGGCGCCCCTTTTCTTTCTTTTTTTTTTTTAAGTTTATTTATTCACTCAGAGAGAAAGAGAGAGAGTGCGCAAGTGGGGGAGAGGCAGAGAGAGAGAGAGAGAGAGAGAGAGA